GATGATAGATACTAAATAGCTGATAGATAATGATTAATAATAGATGATAGCTATATGATACATGGATGACAGATGATGGATCAATAATAGATATGGATGGACAGACAGTAGATGATAAATTGATAATAGACAGATGTTACTTAGTGTTTTGTAAACATCTATTCTTCTTGATCAACTCCTCCTAATCTCACTGTTCTTTCCAGTGGGTACAATGCCATCTGATTTCTAAGAACACAGATTACTGTTTTCTAAGTCTCTGGCTCCCTGCTTGTCTCTTCTCTACTACATACCTGCTTTGCTTCCTGATCTTGCTCTTCTGAGTGTCTTCTACAAGATGTCCTCCACAGGGTCTGGTGATCCCCAGCTGTTCATTCCTAATTTATAAAGTGCAGCATTAAACACTGATTGGAATCTGAGCAGTGGATGTTGGGCAGGGGCTCTTGACTGGTGGAGAGAAAGCCAGGCTCTTGAGAGGTGGCAGCAGATGGCAGCTCTTGGTGGCACTGTCCCTGGGGACTGGTAACTGCAGTGTCTCCCCAGGTGAAGACAGGGTTGCCTGGTTTATTGGGTGGAGTAAAAGCCAGCCCCTTCTGCCTGACCTTCACAGACTCGGGCTCAAGGTTCTATCTTCCTTCTGTGAGACCCACTGTCCCTAACCTAGGGACAATTCACAGTCCATTCACAGGCTGGATTGTGCCTCTCCCTACCTCAATTTCAAATATAGAAATCCTAATCCTAACATGTAAGAAGGTGAATACAGTTAGACACAGCGTTGTTGGAAGTGCAGTTACAAGTTGGCTGGGTCCTAACTTGTTCTTATAGAAAAGGCACGTTTGAACATAAACATGCACACAGAGATTAACACCGTATGGAGATTGAAGTCACACTGCCACAAGTCAGTGACCCAACAGAAATCAGAGGGAAACCATGGGCAAATGCCTCATAGGCCTTCAGGATTTATTGCCTTCATCTTGGACTTCTGGTGTCTAGAACTGGGGAATCCTGAGTTCCTGTAGTTCTGGCCACCTGGTTTCATACTTTATGCCAGGCAGTCACAAGCTTAACAGAGAAGAGGCAGGAGCTACAAGACCACAGATCACCTTGCTGTGAGCCCCTGGTGATGGGTGACAACAGGAGCCTGGTCAGTGTCTGCTTAGTGGCCTCACAACATATGTTAAGATGTGTTAAGATGTTCTCCATGTGAGTATTCCTCTCTCTCTGAGTTAATAAAGATTTCATCCCTTTCCTGTCAGATTAGTGAGGCTATTTGACTGCCTTCCTTATTCTAGACCACACCTCCTAAAGATTCCAGCTCATCCCAGTTAAGCCATGAGCTAGAGATCAAACCCAGTTTTAGACGTGGGCCTTACAAACCATAAAGGGCTAGGAGAGACAGGGAGGCCCCTGAATGTACCCATCTGTTCTCCCTAGATGGAAGGCAAAGCCTTGCCTAGGAATATGGCTAGACAGAGCAGCCACTCCCCTTCCGGTGAGGACTGACAAAAGTATTAGCATTCAAACTTCCTACAGGTAGAAAGGCCCTTAAGATAAGTTCCATAATAATCAAATGCATAGTGTGAGCAACATTTCTTAATGACTGGGTTGGTACACTAAAGCTCTTCAAGTCTCCCATGAAGAGGAGTTTCATGTCTCTCCCTTTCAGTGTAGGCAGGAATTACTGTGTCCCTTCTGACCATTCCTTAGAAAACTAAAAATAGTCACCTGACAGCAAAATACAGTAAAAGCTCAGGGTCAGGGATGAGGATCTTGCAGGATCCATCAAGTTGAGAATTAAAGTCCTCAGTACTTGGGGACTGCTAAAGGCAAGGGGCTTCATGAGGCCACAGGGAGGCAGGACATTTGGCTAATGGCTGAACAGAGCTAGAAAGTCAGCTTCCCCCTCCCCGTACATGGTGTACCAAAAGTCCAGTTGCCCTGGACTTGGGGCACTGAGAACCCAGGAACTGAGGTAGTCTCTAGAAATTGTATATGGCTCCCCACAGCCAGCAGGGAAAGTGAAACTTTCTTTTTTTTGAGGCAGGGTGTATTAGCCACGCTGTGTACAATCTCGCTAGGTAATCCAGGCTCATCTTAAACTCAAAATCTTCCTGCTTTCTACTCTGAAGTTCTGGGATTACAGGTGTGTGCTAAGAACGTTATGACCAGGGAAATGAGTTCTCTCCTACAGCCTGCTATGAGGAATGAATCCTAGCTGATTCCTTGAGTTGGGCCCAGCAAGACTCAAACCAGAATTTACACCTACAGAAAGAAATTGTTTCACTTTAAGCCACTAAATTTGCGGTGATTTGTTAAGGCAGCAATACAATTAATTTCTGACATTGATCTTGAATGCCACAATATCATGTTCACTCTCACCCAACCTGGAAAGGTAACTTGAATTTAACCTTAACCCCAGTGTTATTGGGGTTATTGATCTTGAATCTGAATCTGACACTGACCCTATCTCTGAACCTGGCTTTGACCATGAACTGAAGTTCACCTTATCATTGACCCTGATCCTTGCCAGAGCTCCAATCCTGACCATGACCCTCATACTTAATAGTAAACTTAATCTTGCACTGTGTTCAACAAATTTTGACCTGCAGCCTTTACTTGTCACAGACTTTACTGTGGCGTTGGACACTCACCCACACTCTGATTTTGACTTTAATCAGTCTGTCCCTGATCATACCTCATACTGATTATGGCCCTGGTCTTAAATTTCAATGACCTGAATCTCACAGGTCTAAGCCCAATTTAGTTAAGAGTGAAGTTCAGAACGAGTATTAAAGACAATGTATCTAGGGTCACTGTCAAGGCTAGGACAAGGATGAACGCCAGTTGCAAGGATGAAGAAGCCACTGTGAATGTTGTACAGGAGGGTAAAGCCCAAGCTTAGAAAGAGGGTGAGAGGCTGGGTGTGGTGGCGCACGCCTTTAGTCCCAGCACTCAGGAGGCAGAGGCAGGCAGATCTCTGAGTTCAAGGCCAGCCTGGTATACAAAGTGACCAGCTGGGGATGGACAGCTGGGGCTACACAGAGACCATGTTTCAAAAAGACAAAAAAAAAAAAAAAAAAAAAAAGAGCAGCACCTTCCCTGCAGGAGGGGCTGGGGCTCTTTGAGGACACCT